CTGTTACACAGTAACTCTTACAGGATGGAGGAAACTGGTCTTGGTGGAGATTTGCACTCTCCCAGTGCTTCTAGTTTATATCTAAACCAGTTTTAACCTGTATTTAAGAGAAGGGGCGCTTAATGAGCAACAAGTAATTTTATTGATAAAATACACAAAGCAGGAGAAGCACATTTCTGCAGAGATCATGAATAAAAATCATACAAGGTTACATGTAGAGAATCATAAAAACACATYTGTAAACTGGACAGATAATGACTCATTTAATATCACGAATAACTTGTTTTTATAATGTTATAATAGATGCATAAAATTATGTTACTGCTGTTGTTGTTTACAACTCATTCTGAACATATTTGCACTTTTTTCAGGTGTGATGGTTGAAACAGGCAGAGCTGAAGCTTGGACTACAGGTGGATGTTAAAGCTGGCCAGGAAAGCAGAGGGATCCTGCAGAAAAGCTGAAACATTGTTTCTGTAGTGGTAGGACAGCAGGGCCACTGCAGCGGTGGGCAGGACCAGAGCCCACAGGGAGGACCTCTTGGCTTTGGGCTGGCTGCACGGCCTGGTCTGCATGGGCTGAACCACCCTCTCCCACTGGGTGAAGATGGCCCGGCGCGCTCCGGCCCACTTCCCTGGTCCTCGGAGACGGTACTGGTAAGGGGTGCAGGGACCGAATAACAGTTTCACTCCWAGCTGGGGATCAGTTAGCATGGTCCTGAAGATTCTGGGATGAACTCCCACGATCTCTGAGATCTCGTCCATGTAAGTGATGTAGTCGACCTGGATGGTGTGTCTCTGGCTGGTCACGTACCTGAAGATAACAAAGTTAACTAGAAAATTTCTGAAGAAATTGAAAAGGGGCWGGCCCAAGTGTGCCTAACTTGGAACCAAAACTTGGCCTAGGAAAACCAGAAACCCCTAAGAACTGCCTAAAATCAAAATCTCTTCAGAGGTTAACAAAGGTCATCAATATCCAGTTAAAATTCATTTAATTAATGTGTTAAAGTCCATAAACATGTCATTAGATCAGTGTAGTAATTATATACTTATTTTTATCTTTGTTATGAAGGATATTTTATTTCACAACCAAATAAAGCAGATTCCTTCCAACTAGTAAACATTTTAACATTCACTAGTTACCATTTAATTATTATGAAGCATGGAGTCATAAGCTAATGTTAGCTGTTTGTGTGTCAAGTTACCAGCAGTATTAGTGTTCAACGTTTAGTAATAAACTAGATATTGCGCTCTTATTTTGAAAATCCAAACGGGTTACATCCTGTTCAAATTGTGTCAGAAAACAAACCATAAATAGTAAATACACTTCTTGTAGCACATTATTGTGCAGCGGTAACATTCTCTACTGTGTAAACAAACGTAGCAGAAACATAAAAAAACCACAATTCTTCAGAAATATGACACGTTTTAACCACATGGATGGTGCAGGTTAGGCTAAAGGCTAATCAACAATAATAAACTATATACTGCACTCTTATTTTGAAAATCCTAACGGGTTACATCCGGTTTGAATTGCGTCGGAAAATGAACGTAGCAGAAACATAAAAAAGCACAATTCTTCAGAAATATGACACGTTGTAACCGCATGGATGGCGCAGGTTAGGCTAAAGGCTAATCAACAATAATAAAGTAGATACTGCGCTCTTATTTTGAAAATCCAAATGGGTTACATCTGGTTTGAACTGCGTTGGCTAGGATTGCGCCATCTGCTGGTCCAGACGTCCGAAAAACGGGACGTGTGGCGGCGGGCGGTTTTTATTTAATTTCTCCGCGATAGTAACTCAAATCAAAAAGTTGTTGAATAACACACTTCTCCAGTCCAAGACGGTCATTTTGATGTGACTGTTGTGGGGGTACATGCTACGGTTCGAGCTGCATTAAAAGTGGTGGAAGAAGAACAAAGAAATAAATAAAGACGAGGTGTAGAGTAATGGATTTGCCGTTGCATGGCAAGCCCCACATGTCTGCAGAATGTACAGAAGAAAAGTACAACAGGTAACTCTCCTCGTGTACCTTTTAGCCATGGCCTCCTTCTTGTACTCGATGTCTTTGAGCATGACTTTAGTTGGAGGAAGTTTGATGCAGCCTGGAGAAAATTACACATAATTATTTTATTTTACACAGTCTAACTGTCTGAAGAGACGAGGAAAGAACACGATTAAAAATATTACCTTTGAAGACTCGCGTGGCCCATCTGGCCTGCATCTCAGAGATGGGCATGATGGCCCCTAACGGCTGCACCAGACCGATGACAGCCAGCGTCGGGTGGTCCAGCTCAGGAGCAAACACATATTTGTACAGACTGGCTTTGTTCTCAGACACTGAGATCACACTGGAGGCCAGGAACGGATAAGAGAACGAGTAGCCTGTGCAAAACACCTACAAGAGAAAAAAAATAATAAAAAAATAAAAACCCAAGGTCAAAAGAAGGTACCGAACAAGGCTGAGAGAGGCTGAGAGAATGAAACCTACCAGCAGGTCTATATCATCCACCACACTGCCATCATCAAACTCCACGCTGGACCCGTGAACTCTGCGGATGTTGGGTTTCACTTGGACGGTTCCAGACAGGATGCGGTTGGGAAGATCATCATTGACAGTAGGATGCTGGCTGAACAGCCTGASATACAGGAACACAGTGTGAGCAGGACTGTACATACACCCCTCATGGCTGTGAGGGTCAGAGCAGGTCTGGGCTTTATTGGTTTATTGGAGTCATTCTTTTACCAGGGTGGAATACATCTACACCTTCTAGACGTTTTAAAAACAAGAACTGGTGCACAAGTTTGAATCACTGTCTCCAATCCACACAGTCAAAACTCTATATAAACTGATCTAAATCTTTCTTATTTTAAAACTTCACAACCTCCACAACGCTGAGGCCTATAGCTTCTTATTGGTGATTATGATTGACTGCAGCAGGTACTTTCTCTTTGCTTGCATAAAAATAAACTAGGAAAGTTCAGAGAAGTCAGTGAAGATCTGAGGAATTATACATAAAACTATATCTAAACATGGTCAGAGTGGAAGATCATCAGTCAAACCTTCATTATTCATCCTTTAATCAGAGGTGATTGCTCTAAAACTGCAAGAGAAGCTCAGCTTCCCCCAAAATGTAAAAAAATAAAATAAAATCAAATATACACTGTTGTCTGTTCATGTCATTGACTAAATATGCGCTACAGCATGCTCAACATTTGTTCAGAATCAGCTTCTTATCACTGGTAACGACGCAGCTTTCCTCTCCCTCATTTAAACAGTCAGACGCTGAGCTTCCACAGAGCTCATTAGTGATGCAAAGACTGCAGCGAAGCGAGACGAGTCATTGGATAAATGCTGGCTTTGTCCTGCCCATCGGACGCTCAGCGTCTCTGGGGGTCTATGGAGCAGTAGGGGTGTAAGAAAATATCAATACACTGAAATATGGCGATATTTCATGTCCCGATACTGTATCAATATTCTAAAGCCCTGTATCGATTTTTTATTAAGGTTTAAAA